GCCGGAAATGTTTAAACACGCCTTCGTGTAGACAACCGGCTACATCGTGAACGTAGTTCAACCGTATAGAACTTCCGGATTTGCATAATGTAAATAAGAAACATGGCGACACACGAGAAGATTACTACTTATTCATTCTGAGATCACGGCTTCACAGCAGAGCTACAGACCACAGCTAACTGCTAACTGCAGAGTGACCTCTGTTGTAATCGACCCCCTCTGGTATAATGTCAACAGGAAGCAGCTGATCTCAGCTCTCACTGTGTTTCCTGTATTTACAGAGACTTTGTGGAGCAGCACTATGTAACTCTGAAGAAGTCCAACCCAGAATTCCCCATCCTGATCCGAGAGTGTTCGGGAGTCCCGGCCCGGGTCTGGGCCAGATACGGTGAGTCTGACCGCTTGGCATCATGGGACATTGACAGTTTCACCGGTGAGATGAAAACTGTCAGGGTTTGGTTGGAGGCGGAGTCCACTCCATGATGGTTTTGCACGTGTCAATAAAACTGATGTTTGTGCTTTGTCTTCAGATTTCGGCAAAGAGAGCAGCATCTCCGTGGACAATATGTCAGCTGATCAGGTGGCCTCAGCTCTGCACACGCTGGTTCAGCCCAAACCCTAACTCCCCCCAACTGAAGTGGTTCAGTCAAGGACTCGTCTGTAAATGTGTTCATGTGAATAAATACAAATTATTTAACGTCACAGTTTCTTTATTCTATAGTTTCACTTGACTGGCTGCTGGCTTTCATTGCTTTATGAAATCACCTCTGATGGCAGGGAGGGAGTGACTCTGTAGAGTTGTGTCATCATAAAGACCCACGGTGCTGCAGCTGGAGGAGAACATCTGCACCATCACTGCAGCTGGCTAGCTCCTGACATGTTTTAAAAGGATAGTTCACAGAAAAATAAAAATGTACTAATTATCTACTCACCACTGTAATGGGGGGGGGGGTGAAGTGTTCTGGAGTTTCATGGGTAAACAGTGGTTTAAGTAAATGCTGAGTCCTTCAGATGTAATTAAACAACAGAAAAAAAACATTACATGCCTCCATACTACTCCTATGATGTAATTTTAGTGTCCACGAGCCCCGACATTCATATTCCACTTGGAACCGCTTCATTTACACAAAGTGTTTGGCCTAAACTCACATCCTCTTAGTTACTGCAGCAGTCACTAGTGGGAGGTAAACAGCGCAGTCTAAAGCACCTATTGTGATGACACAACCCTGTTCTGATTGGTTGAAGTTCACTGACACACATGATGCTTCTTATGTTTTTATTCTTAGAATTTCGATATGTTTTCTGCTCCATATTTCTATAAATGTAAGGTGTTAAAAACAGAACCCTCTTTATGCAGTTTTAA